AATGTCCTTTTAACTATATTCATTGTCAGCCAGTCCACACAAGTTTTGTTCCCATACATCCCACTTAAGTTTCCATACTTAAGTAAAAGTATGTGAAATGTAGTTAGGGTTGCCACCTTTCTTGGAAAAACATACCGGCCTTACTAATTTGCATTAGGGTGACATCACATGATGTAAATCACAAGGAGTGACATAAGAGAAAATGCTGTAAAATCACCAAAAAACTACTTAGTTTGATTCTGCTGTATAGATGGATTCCTCCCAGTGCCTCCCAGTGCCCCCAGTGCCCTCATGACTCAGTGCCCCCATGTGTCGATTACTCCAGGTCTCAGTGTTCCTATGTATCAGGGTCTCAATGCCCCATGTCTCCCAGTGTCCCTTAGTGTCTCAGTGTCTGCCATAATGTCTCCCAGTGTCCCTTAGTATCTCAGTGTCTGCCATAATGCCTCCCAGTGTCCCTTAGTGTCTCAGTGTCTGCCATAATGTCTCCCAGTGCCCCTTAGTGTCTCAGTGTCTGCCATAATGTCTCCCAGTGTCCCTTAGTGTCTCAGTGTCTGCCATAATGTCTCCCAATGTCCCTTAGTGTCTCAGTGTCTGCCATAATGACTCCCAATGTCCCTTAGTGTCTCAGTGTCCCCATGTCTCCTTGCAGCCTTTCCCCCCCCATCCCTTACTTCCCTGAGCTGTAGGCTGTCTCTGCAGGGTGGGAGTTGCTGTCTGGACTCTCTGTAGTTGCACCCCTGCAGATCAGTAAGTATAGATAGGCAGGAAGGGATATGCCGGAACTTCCTATCCCTGCCTCTCTCCATACACAGTGACCCCTACTGGCCAGTGCTGGTATTGCAGAGTAATCTCTTGTTTATACTGATAAAAATACCAACATTTGTATTGCCAGTATCACTGCAATATTGGCACCGGCCAGGCAGCCTCAAATACTGGCTGTGCCAATAAAATAAAAGCCAGGTGGAATCCCTAAGAGTAGTGTGTGAAAAAAAAATGTAAAAAAAATCAAAATAAATCAAAAAAAAAAATCAATGGGCCTATTCCATGGGCCTGGGCCTGGAGCTGCAGCTCCATCAGCCCCTATGTTAATCCGGCCCTGGCTGTGCGCACTGACGACAGAAACACGATGTGCACAGAATTGACATTAGGAAGCCCAGAACAGAGTACCAGGCTGTTTAAGTCACATGTGTAGGGGATATAACTATACCTCAGCACACAAGTGCAGATAACATTGTGTGCAATGTTTCAGTCTGAAATACTGCACACAAAGTCCACCGGTTCTAATTAAACTTGTATGTTCTAATTAAAGAGCCACGTATTCTAATAACATTTTAACTCTTTAACTCTTCCTTTCTCTCTGCCTCTGCAGTATAAGGGAGGTCTAGCTAAGCAGGCGGTGAAATCTCTGGCCTCCTATTAAGAGAAATGGTACAGTAAGATGGCACCTAGACACTCCTTCAATGAGCCGAAAATGGTATTTGGGTTGTATTAGAATAAAAGATTAATGTTCTGATGAAAAACCTATCTTTTCTAATGAAACATCCACATGCTAATGAAAGATACTCTTATTTTCATGACAGATCATTTTTAGTAACTATTAATGCGGCACTGTCACCATCTGGGGACGGGGACGAATTCCCGAAGACCCTTGGTAATGACATCACCACTGGAGTTACGGTAGCCAGGTGGCAGGTAAAGGTAAGATTTACTGTGGTTATGGTGGTTTGAGTTACCTTTTAACTACTCTTACTGTAATATAGAAAAAGTTGTATTCCAATGAAGTTATGCAAACGTCTTGCATCTAAACTGGCACATGTGCAGGCAGGTATTAACCCATTATGCCTACATAAGTCACCAAAACATTATTTTTGTCTTTCGGGTGAGTTACCAACCAAGCTGCAATTTGTGGACGGATGGCCCTATTTAGGCCATTATAGGCAATTTTGAAAATAAGAGTTATAGAATTCAGCTGTTTTGGGCTAAAATATCCAATTCCATTGTGAATTCTGCACAATTAACAGTTTAGTTAATAACTCTGTTATGTCTGATTTAAAAAATGATTTTGAAAAAGATGGAAAATACTTAGCATTTTTCAAAAATACATTTTAGAATGTTGTTCTTCTGCTGGCAAATAGAAAATATCCCTGCTCTGTTCCTTTTCACATTGCAATAAATAATTCTGCATGTAGCCCTTTAACAGGAAACTTTCTTCTTTTCTACATTAAATGTGTCAACTTTATGTCAGTTGCACACAAAATTCCTGTAAAAAAAATAGAAGTTACAGCCAAACAAAGCAATTCCTCAGTTCTGATGCATGATGAATGTAGAAAATAATATACTTTTGTTAAGGGAATACTATGGTGTCAGAAATAGAAACGTGTATTCCTGACACTATAGGTTTAAAAACGCAGTTTAGGTGGCCGGCCCCCCTCTCCTGCATTTAAAAAGATGGTAAGCTCACCTTATTTCCAGTGCTGTGCGGGCCTCTCTGTGGCTGACTCTGCCCAGCTCCTCCTCCTTGACGATCATACTTGACGATCTCAGCCAATCAAATGCTTTACCATAGGAAAGCATTGGGAGGCTATTGCGCAAGTGCGGAAAAATACCCTGCTGTGGCAATCGGCATCTCCTCATAGAGATGCATGGAGTCACCTCCATGCAGAGTGTGGTGACGCTGAACATCAGCACTGACCCAGGAAGCACCTCTAGTGGTCGTCTAAGTGACTATCACTAGAGGTGTTCCCAGGTGGTAATGTAAACACTGCCTTTTTTCCGAAATAGTGTTTACATTAAAAAGCCTGCAGGGACATACTATACTCACCAGAACAACCACATTAAGCTGTAGTTGTTCTAGTGACTATAGTGTCCCTTTAACTGTTTTTTTTTTTTTTTGTCAATGACTTTTTTATTGAGGTGTTAGCAAATACACTTGGCATACAGTACCAATATAAATCATGAACCATTTAATCCCATTGTACTGCGCTACGGAATGTGATGGCGCTATATAAATAATAAAATAATAATAATAATAAGCTGAGATCACAAGAAATAAAGTAATACACATGCGTATCTCTCAACTCTGGTATCCAGCAAATAAAAACAATGGAGGGAAGTAAAGGGGGTGAATCAGTGATGTGATTGGGTCACTAACTCGCTGCTCTACCCCAAAGTGACAGACCCACGTTTGGCCAAATTAATAGCAGGTTAACCAAGCTGCCTGCCCATTACTCAGGTCGGCCCACTGAGGGCTGTTTCAGTGCTCCCTGCAAGGTCCTACTGCCCTCAACATGTGCTCATGCTATGATTGTTGGGGACCGTTCCCTGGTGTCCCCAAAAGTGGGATACCAGGAAACTAAGGTGGCATGGCGGGACAGGATCCGAAAATCGGCACTGTCCTGCTGAATTTGGGACAGTTGGGAGGCATGCACATGTATAAGAAGGAGATTAAGGCACGTCATTTTTAAAATATAGATGGGTAATGTAAAAGCAGGATAAACAGTGCACATATAACAAGAAATGCCTGTATAGTGCTATGTGCACAGACATTAAGAGCAGAAGTAAATGTAAAAAATGCATGAGGTGGGAGATAGCATTAGCAGTCACTCATCAAAAGAAAATAAAACAACCATCAACCGGAACCATAATTAAACAAAACATGGCAATCTTGGTAAGTAGTCACTGGCAGCATAGACTCTCAGAAACTCTAATTCACCCAATTCCTGACACCAGGAAACTGCTCTTCCACACTGGCCAAATTCCTACACCCCCGGTGCTCTCAATCATCATAAAAATCACATAAAGCACAAGGATCTGTTCACGCTCAGTGCTCAAATCTACATTCCAGGGTAGTCCAACAGGGTTGGATATTCAAAAATGACTAGGAAACCTTTATTATCCAGTAAATATTACTAGTAAGGGTTGGCCAGCATTGGGGGTACCAATTCCACCCTAGGGCTTAACCCTGAGTAACTCAAAATGATTAGATTTCAAGAGATCCCAGAAGGAGATGCCTAGGTTGGTATTTATAAGGAACACTTTACTGTCCTAAGAGCGAATGCAGATGTGATAGAATGAAGGAAAATAGATACAATTTGGTAACAGAGTAATTCACTTTGTTGCTTATTCAGTAATTTATTAGGCTTTATTTATTTGTTGCCAAAATGAAAACTGACATAAAGTGTAACTCTGTTTACCAATTAAATGAGGGTGTCTATTAATGTAATGGAAGTATCAATAATCATTCTAAAGAATATTAATCAGACTCCCATTCCTGGATCTGTTCTATAAGAGTAGAATGCAAGTATCTAGTTTCTAGTCCAATCCCAAGGTGAGTTCCACTCTCAACAAAATTAGGTAAAGGTTCACTACATGGTTACTTCCCATATAGACAACCTAAAATGGGATTATCAAGAGAGTATTGCCACAATAAGGATGATGCTAATTATAGAGAGGGAAATAGGGATAGTTATAGGAGGTTACAGCGTCCACAGTGAGGGGAGAGGGGTATCAAGGAAAATAGTAGAATCCACAATGCAAAAAGGAGTGAATCCTATCACTGTTCCTGCCTGAACCTCAATAGGTGCTTAAATGCTGTGTAGATCCATTGCTGTTCTGACAAATATACTAGCTTCAGCTACCTGCCACATGCTAGGCTAAATGGTAGAGTAGACTTCCCCTAGTTCTCCCTCTCTGCACCTTTGTGGGTGCTAATAATAGTATGTAACTCGGTTACTCCTATTCTGAGTCATCAATACTTTCTGTATCTATCCTTGTGGCAATCCCAATGAAATTCCCTGCAATCCCACCAACACCCTATTAATCAAAATAGTGAATACGTTATGAATCAGTGCATAGTTCAAGTCAAAATAAAATTAAATAACCCCAACGCACATAAATCCCACGTATCTTTTCATGCTCAGTGCTCAAATCTGCATTGCAGGGTAGTCCAACAGGGATGGTCCTCCTGGGATATAAGCAGTGTAGAAGGAATCTTCCCTTTAAGACTCACTGCCTAGGTAAGCAGCTGCTGGATTTCTCAACTTGCCACGTTGCAGAGTAGAGGCTCGATCTGAAGGCAACTCCAGTGGTGAGGCAGGGGAACTCTGGGCTTGCTGTGCCAGGCAACTGGTGCATATTGAGTCAAAAGCCTGAGTAAAGGCCTCCATCCATGTGGACTGCTGTGAAGATGGTTGCTGGGAAGCAGGTGTAGCTGCCATTGTGGGTAAGGACAACATCGTAGAGGAAAGGTGCTGCCGCCACCACTTCATGGGTAACAGGCTCATCTCCAGTGGGGGCAGTACCTCTCGCTTTACAAAGCAGGATAACCCACACCGGTCCAAAGAGAGGGAGGAAGCAAGGCTTTACATTAGACATTAGATGAATCTTTACAGGAAGTGTTTAGGAAGGCTGTGTAAGTCACATGAAGGGAGGTGTGCCTAGGGCTGTATAAACAAAGTGATTTAACTCCTAAAAGGCAGAGAACTGAGCAGTGAGACTGCAGAGGCATGATCTATACACAAGGCAAATGGCATGTGGGGGAAAATAACCATAAATAAATAAGGGGCATAAGGGCAAAAAGGACAAAGGACACAGCCTATAACAATGATTGTCAGGGAGCCAAGATGGAAGTGCTCTTTGCACAATGAAGAGGTGCTGGTTTCTACATTTAATATATATTTTTTTATGAATACAGAAAAAAGGGCGGTTGCGCACACAATGGAATGTTTGTAGTTATAGAATATTATATCTGTAAAGTACAATCAAATAAAAACCATCATAGGGTAGTATGAAAATGCAAAGTATAAAATGAGAAGTAAATTGGAGCACTCACAATATTTAGAGCCATGTAAATCGGCTCTAAACTATGATGACATGTAGAATAATGCAGGTCCCCCAGAAAAGCAGCAGTATTCTTCTGGATGAAAGTTACAGGAACCACATATGAAGTATCAAATAGCTCTTTATTACATAAAAATCAAGCACAGCGTGTTTCGACCAATCAAACTTGGTCTTCCTCCGGTGAAATATCTAACAGGTACATACCATAAGAATATATATCATAACTAATTAAAATAAGATAAAACATACATGTCACAACTTCCCACCCATCTTGTCCTTATATGGGAGTTCCGTTTTTCTTTTGCCTCCTCCAAAATGGATGGCGATCGCTGGTTTCAATGTGTGGATATGTATAATGCCCTTCCCAACATGGCTGCGCATTGCGGTCGACCACGTGTGATTCGCTTGTAGTCCACATTTACATTTTAAAAGGTAAATAACATTTTTAGACTCACATGAAATAAAAGAAGAGACTGAATTTTTTTTTGTTGGTAAAAGAAGATATAACATTTTCTTTCTTTTTCATTTCAACCTTAGTACTTTTGCAGGCATTGTAATTACCGCAATGAAAGAAGCCTTTCTGTTTTTTTGACCAGTCTTCCAAAAATGTGTGTTCCTTGTTTTTTCTCCACATAGCTGGAAGTTAAAATCTGTTTCAAATTTCTAGCACCCCTAAAAACAAATTTCGGGTTCTGCCCTAAAAATTCATGTATGTCTTCTTGCTGAAGAATGTGCCAATTTTTGTTAATGACCTTTTTTAAAATACCTACATTACTTGAATAATTAAAAATAAAAAGGATTTGTCGGGAAGATGTTATCTGATCTTTTCCTTAATATTTTAATAATTGGGATCTGTTAAGTTCATCAATATCTATATTACTTTTGGAGAGCGTATCATCTTTATATCCTTTTTTTGCAGGAATTGTTTTTTTTTTAGAAGGATGATTGATCATTAAAATTTATTTGTTCTGAACAGTTTTGTTTCAGATGTAAAAATTGACCCTTAGGAATATTGAGTAACCATGGGTCATAATGGCAACTTGTAGTTTCAATAAAACTGTTTACGTCTACCTGTCACCTTCCTTTATCCTATTTATTTTTTTTATACGTCACAAATATTTATTTATTAAATATAGTGATAAGTAAACATTATATTAAAAGCAGTGGCGTACACATGACCCATGGGGCCCCGGTGCGAAAATTGATCCGTGGGCCCCGCTCCCCCCCGCGCGCGGGCCGGGCCGCAACACATGACGGTGGGCACCTGGTTGCAGAGGTTACAGGGCTGCGACCGCGGTATGTACGCCAGTGCATGCAGATGCACACACACTTAAAGGACCACTCTAGGCACCCAGACCACTTCAGCTTAATGAAGTGGTCTGGGTGCCAGGTCCAGCTAGGGTTAACCTATTTTTTCATAAACATAGCAGTTTCAGAGAAACTGCTATGTTTCTGAATGGGTTAAGCCTTCCCCTATTTCCTCTAGCGGCTGTCCTCTCACTGTGATTTTCACAGTGAGACCACGCCAGCGTCCATATGTGACCGGCTGAATGCGCGTGCAGTTCTTGCCGCGCGTGCGCATACAGCCGACGGGGAGGAGAAGAGGAGGATCGGAGTAGGAGAGCTCTCCACCCAGACCTGGAAAAAGTAAGTTTTACCCCTTTTCCCCTTTCCAGAGCCGGGCGGTAGGGGGTCCCTGAGGGTGGGGGCACCTTTAAAGGACCACTACAGACACCCAGATCACATCAGCTCAATGAAGTTGTCTGGGTGTCACGTCCCTCTAGTTTTAACCCTGCAGCTGAAAACATAGCAGTTTCAGAGAAACTGCTGTTTCACTGAGGGTTAATCCAGCCTCTAGTGGCTGTCTCACTGACAGCCGCTAGAGGAGCACACTGAACGTCCATAGGAAAGCATTGAGTAATGCTTTCCTATGGGCGGTTTGAATGCGTGCGCTGTCGCATTCGGAGCTGAGAGACTGAGGGATCCTCAGCGCCAGGGGGGTCCGGCGCTGGAGAAAGGTAAGTGCTGAAGACACACACACACACTTACAGACGCATACACACTAGCTAACAGACACAGTCAGCGACAGACATACATACACACTCACTTACAAAACATACACTATCATTGACAAACACACACTCACTAACAGACATCAAACAGACTCACTAACACACACACACTCAGTAAGACACACACAGTAGCACACTCACTGACACTCACTAGCAGACACACACACTAACGCTCACTCTAACACTCACACACACTAACACTCACACTAACACTCACACTAACTAGCAGACACACACACTCTCACTCTAACACTCACACTAACACTCACTAGCAGACACACACACACACTAACACTCACTCTAACACTAACACTCACTAGCAGACACACACACTCTAACCCTCACACTAACACTCACACACTAACACTCACACACTAACACTCACACATGTTTTTTTTTTTTTTTAAATTGAATCCCCCCAGCCTCCTTACCTTGTGGAGTGCTGGGGGGATTCCCTGGGGTCCAGTGGTGGTGCTGGGCGGGCGGGCTGGCTGGCGGGCGGGTGGCCGGTCGGGCAGGCAGGCGGGCGCGCGAGGGAGCACTCACTGCTTCCTCTTCAGCTCCCTCGCGCGCCGCGTAGGGATACCGGCGCCGGAAGGTGACGTCATCTTCCGGCTCCGGTATCAGTGCGGTGCGCGAGGGAGCTGAAGAGGAAGCAGTGAGTGCTCCCTCGCGCGCCCGCATGCCCAACCGGCCACCCGCCTTCCTGGTGTCAGCAGGGCCAGCCTCGGGGGGCCCTGGGGTGGTCGGCTCCTGGGCCCCCCAGGGGAAGAGGCTGGCCCTGTGGCTACATACCGGGTCGCAAGGGCGGCCGGGCCCCCTGGTGTGCCGGGCCCGGTCGCAGCCGCGACCCCTGCGACCCTGGTATGTACGCCACTGATTAAAAGCTTGGTTCACTTTAATGGTGAGTAGTGGTAAGCTGTGTCTAGGTCAAGACTTTTTCCCAACATGGATACTTTGGCAAAAACCTTGCAAATTAGTTGTTCATTTCACTAAACTCTTTAATTACGGAGTGATCTATATCTACTTTAACTTTTAACGTTTTATGTCTACGTGTAGCCTTAATTACCTTTTTATTTAATTCTGAATTTTTTTTCTATTTTTTAGTTTGTCAGATTGAACATTTGAGAATCGTAAACTAGGAATTGTGAAAATTGACAAGGGAATTACATTTTTTTAGGCTTTGGTCGTTAAACAGAAAAAAAAAAAACTCCAATAAATCTGAAATACAGTTATTTTCCCCGCTTTGCGATTTTTACAACTGTTTTCGGTTCCAAATTTAGTGAATAGGCTCCAATTTATTTTTTGCTGTTTTGCACACTTTTCATGTTTATGATGTGGTTTTGCTATAATCAGATCATCGGGCCTCTCACACACGTCCCTGTGTCTTGTTTCTGTTTTTGCTGACTTTCAGATTGAGAAGTTGCTGCTCTGCACAAAAATCATTGTGTTCTGTTACTCATTTTGTGCTCCAGCTGTGCCTTGTCGGCTTCATTACTACTTCACTCACATGCTGAACAATCATTTTCTACGTCTTAAAGATAATTCTGCGAGTTGTTTTATACACATAGATGTTCACAGGAAGGTTTTCCACTGTGGGAAGAAGAAGCTCTGTCTGTTTGTAGATTTACCATATGTTTTGGAATATAAGACGTACTGGTCTGGACTAGATGTTGTGCCCATATGTTTGAAATAGAAATTAAAAACAAAAATAAAAAAAACACAACCAGCTAAATGTCTTACCCGTTCAGTGCTTCCTGTTACCCTTTAGTGTCTCTTACCCCCTTGTGTCCTTTAAACCAAGAAAGGCACTATCTGAATTGTGAGAGGTACAAAACACACTCTCTACAAACACACTACCTCCCCTACACACACACTACATACCCTATACACATGCACTTACAGCCCATATACAAACATACCCTATAGCCCCTATTCACATACACACACACACACACACACACTCTAAAGCTTCCATACACACACCCTACAGCCCCCATACAAACACACACTTACTACAGCCCCCCCTACAAACACACTACCTCACCTACACACACACTAGATACCCTACACACATACACTTACAGCCCATATAGAACATACCCTATAGCCCCTATTCACATACATACACACACACACACACACACACACACACTCTAAAGCTTCCATACACACACACTACAGCCCCCATACAAACACACATGTACTTCAGCCCCCCCTACAAACACACACTCAAACACACATTCCTTCTGCCCCCAACACCTTTTTGTGTGTGTCCCAGCACATTCCTATGGGTCGGCAGAAGATGAGAATTAAAAAGAAGGGTAAGTGGGGGGTTAAGGGGGTAGAAGGCACACAAATGGTAATGGGGTTTAAGATGAACACGAGGGGTAAAATGGGGTTAAAAAGTACACAAGGGGTGAGAGTGAGGTTAAGAGGCACACAAGAGGTAAGAAGTGTTCAAAAGGCACACCTGAAAAGTGAACAGTAAAAAGAATGAAGCGCTTTTGTATTATGGAGATTATATAATTATTCCCCTTTGGGAAATTGAGGGGTGTTCCCTTGCGTGCCAGAAAGAAATGTGTTGATATCTATAAAAGATAACCAAACATAGTATAGACTGTATAGAATTTTACAGAGATTTATACAATAATATTTAAACTCACAAACAGAGAGCTATAGACCCAGCTCTGGTGTATATCGCTTCTGGGTCCGTTTAGGTGACCCACCCCTATTATCAGAACAAAATTTCTTGTCCTGCAGGGGGGAATGAAAGCACACACGATTGCGCAATATTGCCGGTACTTTTCTTAATGTACAAAGCAAATTCCCAAGTGGGTACTTACAATAACTGGAGTCAGTATTAGTGACTCAATTTCACAGCGTTGTGCAGATTTGGGACTACACTCCCATCTGTTAAAATGAATTCTGGAACCAGGATAAGGTCATAAAAATAAAAGTTAAATTTATTGTAATAAAGTATAAAATAAAAAAGGCAACAATGTCCTTTTAAAAACGGAACAATGTCCTCTAAAACCGGAACGCGTTTCGCCACTTCACCGTGGCTTCTTCAATCGTAGAAAATGATTTCAAAGTCCCTTGGTTCCTTATCCTTCTTATAAGGAACCAAGGGACTTTGAAATCATTTTCTCGGGTTGAAGAAGCCACGGTGAAGTGGTGAAACGCGTTCTAAAACCGGAACGCGTTTCACCACTTCACCGTGGCTTCTTCAATATTGCGCAATCGTGTGTGCTTTCATTCCCCCCTGCAGGACAAGAAATTTTGTTCTGATAATAGGGGTGGGTCGCCTAAATGGACCCAGAAGCGATATACACCAGAGCTGGGTCTATAGCTCTCTGTTTGTGAGTTTAAATATTATTGTATAAATCTCTGTAAAATTCTATACAGTCTATACTATGTTTGGTTATCTTTTATAGATATCAACACATTTCTTTCTGGCACGCAAGGGAACACCCCTCAATTTCCCAAAGGTGAATAATTATATAATACAAAAGCGCTTCATTCTTTTTACTGTACACTTTTCGTTTGTGATTTTAGAAGGTGAATGCACAGCAGCTGGTTTTTAAAAAATATCTATATATATTGACAAATTAGAGAAGTGATAAATAAGCGCTGATCCTTATCCAATTTCTTGTTTTTCAAAAGGCACACCTACCACACTAGAGGTAAGGGGGTGAGCAGAGACAAAATATGGTATGGGGGATTATGAGACACACACAATTGGTGAAGGTGTGTAGAAACACACTAGGTGTAAGCCTGTTGGAGAGAAACACTATAGAGTAAGTGGGGTTATTGTTAATATTATCATTTATATAGTGTCGATATATTATGCAGCGCTTTACAATATTATAAAGAAAGAAATTAAACAATAAATGAGTCAATTACAAAATGTTACAGACACAATAGGTAGATGAGGATCCTGCTCGAAAGAGCTTACCATCTAGAAGTTAGGAGATCCACACAAAGGTATGCAGAGACACACAACATGTTTATAGAGGAGTGGGTAATTAAACCATGCACACAGCCACAGGTGAGCTAAAAGAAAAAAATCCCTGCGCTTGGCTCACCCCTGCTTGCACCTCTCGGTGTCTCTCACACCCCTTGTATCTATTAATAGAAGGTTTGAGTTAGTGACCTCTCATTTCAAAATTATTTTTTAACACAATATTTAAGAAAACAAAGTTTAAAAAAACAATATGGTTACCAACTGAAAATACAAAAAACCCAACATACAATTATTGTATTTATGATGTCACAAAAGAGTGATGTCATTCTGATGTCATGCTCGGCAGATAAGTATTGCACAGTCAGAGTTCAAAGTGTGTAGTGAGAAGTAGGGCATGCTGAGGGAAGCTGGACATGGACCGACTGGTGAGGTGGAAACAGGGTAGTGTACCAGGACGACAGGACTCCAGATTGCCTTAGCATGGGGTCATGATTTTTATTTATTTGTCGACAAATTTCTAAAAAATTTTAAATAAAAAGTCCAGGGACAGAAACATAGCCGGTTGCCTTAACATGGGGTCAGGAAGGAATTTTTTACTTGTGACATATTGCTTAAAAGTACATCTTTGTTTTTTTGCCTTCCTCTGGATAAATAAATGAAGGAAATGTTTTTTTTTGGGGACAAATGTTACTTTTGCTTATTTTATTTTTAAATAAGTAAAAAAACCTTTGGCAAATAAATGGTTATTGTTTTGGGTTCTTTTATGTCCCAAAAATATGGACCATTCACAACAATCTAGAAATAGGTATTAAGAAGCTATGCATGGTGAGGTAAGTAGACTTTCCCTCTTATATTGCATGGAATCACTAGGAACAGGCAAAGGAAACAATGTCACTGCACCATAATGTGGGTTAAACACTTCAAACATCGAGACTATGCGGTGAACTCTGCATTAGTCCACTTTAACGTCAAGTCATCAATTACCATTTGTTAATTAAAAATAAGGATGGATTCATTAACCAGCCAGCCTGTGTCCTCTTGGATTTCCATAGCTTCTTCAAATTCCGATCTTTGGCCTTGTCTTCAAAAACCAGATTGGTGAGTAGTAAAAGCATTTGTCAATCATCACAACGGAAGCCAAACACTGCTCTGACCAGCATGTCCAAAAGTATGTTACATTTTAGTGAGGGGAAATAAAATGATTGTGAAAAAAACACTCCACATGTTGTTCCTAATATTGTTGCCCTATGTACATAACAGGCAAACTTTGACCCGGAACCTCACAGCCAGCAGACACATTCCACCCAATCAGCAGCAGACCCTCCCTCCGGGGAAGTGTCTGCTGACTGTGAGGTTCCGGGTCAAAGTTTACTCAATGATGACGTATAGGGGGCGGACCGGAAATCGGATATGTTCGCCCAACGCGAACACGCTATTGTTCGCCGGCGGACAGTTCGCGAACAGTATGGCGGACAGTTCGCAACATCTCTATTTCTAAATAGAGGCCTGGTTGGGCACAATGGCCCTTTAGCAGCACGTTGATGCTGGAAGGAATTGTGTCACTTCCTCCCAGATTCAGAGGGAGTCGTGCGGCAGAGAGCAAGCACAGGAGTGGTACAAGCCCCAGGCCATCACTACTTTTATGCTTAGCCAGCAGCAGGGCCCCAGACCCTCCTGCATATCAAAAGTATGTTAACAAGTGGGTGGCTAAAAATATAGAAATTATTACATGTATGTGTCTGTGAGTAAGTGTGTCAGTAGGTGTATGTATCAGTGTGTGCATCTGTGTGTACGTGTGTATGCGTCTGCATGTGTCTGTGTGCGAGTGTGTATGTCAGTGTGTGCATATGTGTCATTGTGTGTGTTTCTGAGTGTGTATGTGTGCATCTCAGTGTGTCTGTGTGTGTATCTGTGTGTATTTGTCTGAGTGTGTATGTGTCATTGTGTGCATCTGCGTGTGTATGGGAATCGCCTTGAGAGACCTATTCTTCTGCATCCTCGGATGAAGATAGCCTGACTGCTCCAACACCAGCATACTCCAAGATACCACCAGCACCGGGGGTACACCTGGCACTGCAAGATAATGCCCCATCCACAAAAGTCGATATTATGGCATTACTAACTGATATCAGAGCTATGTTCCAGGAGGACATACAGTAGTTCGGGAGGAGGTGGCCGCACTCACTAACCGTATTGTGGCATTTTAGGGTCACCCAGACTGTTATGGTTGCAACCCCAGGAATGCATGGTTTAGGGAGATCCTTGAGACCATTACCAAGGAGGAACTTCCTCATTATGTTTGCAAGCTCATTTCTACCATACTGTTGCCTAAACTGACTGATAGATCACTGCTTTCACCTTCCTAGGGCCAATAAAGCTCCACAAGAGGCTCCTGAAAGGTTCCTCATTAAATTTGTGCGGGACTCCTACAGAGGATACCTCATGGGGGACGCAAGGGGATCTCTCTCCGTGTCCTTTGAAGGATGTGAACTCACCCTCTACTGAGATCTATCCTGGCAGACCATCCTATGGAGACAGTCCTACCATCAGATTACTCAACTACTCCGAGAACAAATAATTATCCATTAGTGGGGAATCCCACAAAAAAAAAGCAAAATCTATTTTATCATACACCTCCCAGAAGTGTCTACTCTACACCAGTGACTGGGGTTACCGGCGGGGTCGATATCAGCAGTGTCTCACCCCACATGGTCTTTGGATTCCAATTCGCACTCTACACTAGCAGATTGTCCCCTCCATTTTATTGTTTTTATTGTTAGTACTAGAAGATCCTAGATAAAAAGTCAAATTGTTAGCAGATGGTTTGACTGTTAACATAAGGGGGCAGCGGGGGACTCCTGGCACCATAACAACTATAGCATGCTGTAGTGCAGGGGTTCTCAACCCAGTCCTCAGGACCCCCTACCAGTCCAGGGTTTAGGGATTATCTGGGTGTGTCTCAGGTGTTTAGAAAAAGGGGAAAAAACACCTTAGACTCTAAGGTATTTTTTTTTTCTTTTTCTAAACACCTTAGACACACCCAGGTAATCCCTAAACCCTGGACTGGTAGGGGGTCCTGAGGACTAATGTTGAGAACCCCTGCTGTAGTGTTTATAGTGCTTGGAGTGTTTATTTAGCAGGATCTAGGTAGCAATAGGTTAAATAATAATAAATATATGGCACAGTAGTCCTCTGGATCTCCTCTTAGTCAGTGGAGATCAGTGTGACGAAGGCAGGGAGGAGTCACCAAATCATTTTTGGGTCCCAGGTATTTTTTAACCCTAGAAACACCCCTGACTCCCTTCATTTAATACAGAATCCAGGATACCTTTGTTTTAATGTATTTATATTAATCAATTGTCTACTGGATCATTTTGCATCCACCTGTGGAGCAGGGCCAGATTAAGAGCCCAGTGGGCCTGGTGCTGACAATTATGACGGGCCTAATTACAGAATCATATCAACCAAAAACAGTAAAACACTCCAAAGCATCATGTATCTGATGGTGCTGGAGAGAAAGAAAACAGCAGCTATAAGAAAACACATACCCTAGGCTAATCTCTCTCTAATTTATGTTTTCATCTTTCAAGTAAATCCATAACCCCTAACAGCAGTGTCCAGTCAGGCAGGAAGTCAATGGGCATGGTAAAAGGGTGTGCCACTGACACAAATCACATAACCTGACAAAAGGGGCGAACATGCCCAAAAAGAGGACATGTCTGCTCAAAGAATTAGAAGGCCAGCCTGGCATGAATGCATGTCAGGCTGCCTGCCAATCATGCAGCTGGCCAACTAAGGGCATACTATGCAGACAGCACCCTGAGCTTGGCATAAATGCATCTAATGATGAGCTCACTCAACGCTTTCTAAGGACTGTCCCCTAGCACTCGCTGGTCCACTTGTCTCCTTACCTTCTTACTAGCAGGCAGAAGCTTCTGGTATTTGGTCTGGGACAGAGAAAAGCTGTATGTAGTGAGTGTAGAAGAAAGGGAACATGCCACAGTGTTAGAGAGACCAAAGTCAGCATTACCTTAAAGGATCACTATAGGGTCAGGAACACAAACATGACTTCATGACCCTTTAGTGTTAACACCACCATCTAGCCCCCCTGTGCTCCTCATGCCTCCATAAATATAGCAAAATCTTACTATATTCAAGCCTGAAGCTGTAACTCTGCATGCTGT